CCCAGTATTCTTCGGCGAAGCATTGCAAACCTCTACGATAATCTGTCCGTTCTCGAGGGTACAGAGGGAACGTGCCACTCCTAGAGCGGGAGGCAGACCAAGTACAGCTTCGACCAGCATTATAGACCCTTCCGACATCTCTCCTACAAGGCCAGCTCGCACCAAGGCCTGACCTCGCGGGGGTAGACGCATGACCGAGAGCACCTTAGTCAGGTAAGTATTTTCAACAGTTTCCACTCCCAACGGTAGAGTTTCACCCGAACGTTGGAGGACCATAGAACGGTTAGCGACGTCAAACACAGCTCCGAACGCACATAAAGCGTCAACGCCCAAAATAGCATCGATATGGAGTTGGTCCACAACCAGCACTTCCAAGGAAAGCTCCAAAGCTCCCAGTAAAATAGGTAGGTGTTGCCAGCCTTTGACTAGTAGAGCGTGCCCCGACGAACTACTCACTTGGCCTTCATATGGTTGTAAGGATACGAGCGTCTTCCCCAAACGCTCCAGCACAGCTGAATCTACTAGACTCAAAGTTGCTCCACATCCGTACAGGCAAACAATCAATATATTCACTAGAACAAGCTTCGAAGTGTCCAACTGAACACACCACTCGTCGGCCATCTCGAACGACCGGGAAAGATTTGAACGAATTTTCGGCGGGATCAAGCCAATCTTCTTTAGACGAACGGTTCACTCCTATTTCCACTCGAGAGCGCTTAGGATCAAATCCTGGTATCGACTCTGACGTCGAGATAACATTGACGTAATGAGAGATATCGTCGTCACAAAACGATTGGAACTCGCCTCCAGCAGGGGTTTCGACCTGTTGCCCGTATAAAGACGAACAATCGAAACACACGGACTTCTTGCGCACTCTACGTTTGCGTCTCAGGGCTGCTCGAGCCTTGTGGATACCCGTCCGGGAGCACAAGGACCGCCAGATGCGGACGACATTTTGTGAATAATACTCTTCAACCCAAAGAATCAACCGTTCCCAATAATCTCCTCTCAGGTTGAGTTCGAGCACGATTTGGTCGGCGAACCACCTAAGCCGTTCCCAGTCGATCCCAGGAACGTCTTCTTTCAGAGGAAGGCGACTAGGAAGGTCGTCGGACCCCGAATCTACCGCTGTACGGCCCCGTTGATCAGCCATAGTCATAGCTTCTCGTCATCCTGTAGACAGCCTTCCTGGCGACGATTCGAATAAAGTCGCTCCTCATCTTGCCGAAGTAGTCTACTTCCTTGATTTCCTCCGAAATCATAGCGACCGTCTTCCCCAGCTCAAACGAGATTCCAATATTTTCGAGAACGGATGACTCAGAAGTTACCTCTCCTACAGATAGAGGGCGGGGTTCGATACTTCTCTTCTTCGGCCCCCCCTTCTCTGTCTTGTTTCTCTTGTGACTAAGAGCTACAACAGAGGCAACAACATCCTCTCAGCTTCTACGGAAGTCTCGGTTCGCTCGTCTGGCTTCTTCCGAATGAGCTAGAGCTTCTTGAAACCATTCCATCCAAACGTTAGGGGAATCTCGGCCGCCTGAGGACACCTTTTCAGTCCGTTCGAGCATCTCCAGAGGTAAGTTTAGCAGAGAAGCGACTTCCGACAGGGACGGTTCTCTCTGCGACCCGGCGTTCCGGGCTCTTCTTTTCAGAAGTTCCACTTCGTCCAACGGATATAACTGATCTTCGAGCTCTTTAGAGTATTCTTCTTTCTCGGCTTCTACCCGGGAGGCACTTATGACGGATTCTTCTTGACCGGGGTTATAGGTTTCCATACAATATAGTTCAGCATCAGAGAAGAGACGACCATACTTAGGAGCCTCAACCGTTGACGACATTCCTTTCTCGTGACCGGAGTCCAACATGGGTTTAGCCTGGGCCTCAAGAGATAAGAACCGTTCCGGAGGGAGAACGTCCGTGGTAACCGTCCGAAAGTCGTTCGGGACGGTCATCCTAAGAGATTCATCCCAGCAGAGGAACCCACTGTCCCCTAGATCGATCTGGGTCCCTCGTCATAATCTTTGCAGTCTAGGTCCTCAACACAACCACTCTTTTTCAAAATGGGTTTCAACCTTAGCTCGGCCGGGGGATATGTCTTAAAGGAGGAGTTAGCAAACCGTGCTATAGAGAGCCCTCCCTTCTTCGCGACTTTGTTAGTCTCCACCCGAACCATTCGTACGCTCCCCGCGCACTCCAGCTTATTCGGAACACTATACGCCGGCAAGTCCCGATTCAAATTACAGTCAACATTTTTCTGATCTAGTAGCGAGGACTTCCCAGGGTCGTTTTCTACGCCATCCTTTTCCGTATTCAAGCAATCATCTATACGTACATCCACACACGTCACAGTCGCCTCCCCGTTCACTTCAGCATTGAACGGTTTAGTGGTCTCAACCAATGGTCGAGAGGCCACAGAGTCATTTTTAGGCATCGAGGAAGGGTAGACTCTCTTCTTACCTTCCTCCAGCCGCCTTCACTGTTGTCCCGCTTTGGCCTTGTTCGCCAGATCGCGGAGGCCCGCGATCTGGGGACAACTCGAAATTCCATGCCATTGTTCGTGACAAAAATAGCAACCCGATCCGCCACGAAACCCTTGGCCATCCGACTGTTCATTTTCAACGGCGATATGACCCGACACTCCGCACCTCCGACATTTCATACGCTGTCGGCGGCACGTCTCGCGAGAACACCCGAGGAGGTGACATCTTCCTCAGACAGAGACCCCATCGTGAGTGCGCTGATCAGCCCCAAACGGATGTCTTTAAGCGGAGGTCCACTATCCCCACGAAACCATTCCCCGAGGGAACGTTAGAGCCCATTACCGCATTTATCCTAGAAGAACGGTTGCGAGGCGATCGGGGTTGGTAGTAGTGAGTGTGCGTCTGTCGCTGTGATTGCGCATTCAGAATAGCGTCTACTTTCAACGACAAAGCGTCTAGGGCCGCTTGGTTTGAGGCCAAAGCGTTCGAGTGCCAATCATCCGTGGGTCGCCGTCCACAAGCGTATGCCAGCCGAACCACAGATTTTTAGTCTCGAAAACTTCATTCCAGGCACCAAGATATTTATCCGTGCCGTGGGACTTGGAAGACTCGTTCGGATGTGGCGTCAACTCAGTGGACATTGCAGTAAGGAAACTGAGAAGGCCGACGTTAGCCTGGCACTTTGGGAACGGCGTCACTGGCTTCAGCAATCCTCCTTGGAGAATGCTATCCTTGCATTCCGTAAAGCCTGTGACCCCCGGGACACCATTCCTCTTCTTCGTTCTCGAGCTTTGGTTCGAGTTCAATGAACTCGCAATCTCCGAGCCGACCGGCTTCGTTTGCAGATAGTAAGGCTCAGGGACTGGTGCACAGACGATGATGGCCCTCCCGAGCACCCGACCGTGATCTTGTTGGCGCACAGTTGCCTGCAATATTCTATTGAAGCATTGGACTGGGCACCACAGACACTTGACTGGTCCCGTGAGTTGCGCGTGTTGGACGCCAAGCAACCATGGAGAAATTGTTGGGTGGATGCTCCTGATGAGCATCTATATAACACTCTCTTCGCTCCCTGCAACACTGAGATCCCGCTTTTCGTTCCGACGGCAAGGACTCGCAAGGCTATCACCGCACAGGTTGTCGTGGACCCATCGCTTCCTGAAGCTGATACCCAAACTCAGTGGGTCCAAGACGACCCTGGCTTAAGTGAAGCAGGTCCAGAGGAGCCTGTTGATTCTGGAGACACTGCTGCCGAAGCTTCGGAGAATATGTTGGGCGAAGAGTCCAAGTCGGAAGAGACTTGCGAGGCTCTCAACGAAGACTCTTTCTCATTCTCTCGCGGGAGCGCTACTTCGACGGCTGGATCTTTGGTGGTCTCCCCGAGTCCTGCGAAGATTACGTCTCCGACCGAAGACCCTTCGGAAGAGATCGTGCTCGCTCCCTTCGACATGTCGGTCCATGCCGCGACGCGCCAGTCACCCGCTTCTGATTGATTTTCTGATTCTCCTTGCTGAGGGTCACTTAGTAGTTTAATAATATTTTAGTTCATCACGTAGCCCTTCTCATTTGTAATCATAATATCAATTCCACGGGCCCGTTCCATCCACTTCCAAATAATATGCTCGGTTAAATCGTTTTCCAATCACGCAAATATGTAAACATGTAGGTTTGGTACAGTAATTCCTTTTCGTCTGTTACCGTGGGCTGTACCAGCCCCACAGACAATTCGTTTCCATTGGGTGTCTAATTTCCATTCGCGACCTGAACCATTTGCAGCCTTCGGTCGCGACGTTTTTCGCAGAGGTAGTCGTACAGCAAGCCACCGCACGACAAATTAGACGTGGGTTCCCATGTTGGTTCCTCGTAACCCATCCATTTTACCTTGAATTTTCTGACACCTTACTCAGTGCTTGTAGACAACGGTATCTGGTCATCCAGAATTGCTTCCACTTCATACCCGCCAGCGACGTGGTCTGTTTCCCAGCTATCCGCTGGTAGTAACGCTTCATCGAAATCCTGCCGTGAGGCGTCGGTTACTTCTGCTGCCAACCGAGTATTCAGTCGGTCGTTGAACGCACCTACTGCCTTGAGCCGTGATACATGCACCACAGCGTAAAACCTGTAACCGCTTCGATCCGGCAAGTCGAATTCATAAGCAAACTCTTGGACCTTTTCTTTAACGCGAAAGGGTCTGTGCCATCGGTGCGCTAGTTTCTTCGTCAACCTTGGTCTCACACGCTCGATGAACAGCCAGACGCGGTCCCGGTCATAAACAGAGGTTTCACTTCACTGGCAGAGGTTTCGTCCGAATCCTCGGTCACTGCCCCTGTCAGCTGATCCATCACCTTGTGTAACGGTCCGATCTGTTCCGGGAATCGTAGCCTTTCCAGCCCTACTCGGCAATTCGTTATGTTTCTGGGCTCTCCGAGCTTTCGTAGCTGCCTGGTACTCTTTGACCATCTTCAATGCAATTTCTTGCTGACGGTTCGCCTCTCGACGCCTGGCGAGGGCGTCTGACTGTCATCCGTAGCTTCGTTGAAGTGACAAGAATATTGCTTTGAGAGTGGACTGTGCGTCCCACCCATGGATGAGATAAAAGGGTGTCTCTCTTCTCGTCGCATCTATCGAATAGTTAATCGCGAAGATCAACTTCTCCGCGATGTCATCCCAGTCCTGCTGCAGAGGATCTTCTGCGCCAACACGCACTGACTGCATAACGGTATTGACAGATCGTTCGCCTGAGGCCGGTAACTTAATGTTGCCCTAGACCTCGACAGCACCATTTCGGTGAAAACTTGGAAGACCTCACTCATGAAGCGTGGGTCTCGATCGTGTCTAATCAGCGATGGCGATCCGAATCTTCGGAAGACGCATTCTTCAAACACCCGGGCCACCCGTAAGGCGATGGAGTTGGCCATGGTTTTACTCATTACGAATCCGGTAAATGCACACATAGCGCCATATTTCCTAACTGAGACTTCGGTAAGGGTATGACGAAATCCATAGACACGATTTGAAACGGTCGCTCCACCAAAATGTTGCCCGGTGTGTATCCGCGAAACTTCGGTGGGTTTTTACTCGAGCTACAACCGGGGCAAGAGTTTACGTGTCTTGCGGCATCTGCGTATAGACCTACCCAGTAGTAATCTAATCTCACCAGGTAGAAGGTTCGTGCGATACTTTGATGACCTCCTTCCAACGAGTCATGGCAGGTTTGTAGTACCTCTTGAATCATCGTGGTGGGCACAACTAGACGTAGTGTTGGATTCTCTTGCAGGTGGTCACCTCTCAGAAGTCTCGTTCCTAGGTGGTAAAGCACGTCGTTCTCACTCAGAACAAAGCGATCGACCGCCTTCCGCGCATCTCTCGCTGCCCGGTATGTCAACGTTGACTCTTCACCACGGATAACAGTCTTCAAGTTTGCCCATCGCAACTCTTCATCCTGAGTGACTGCGATTCTTCTCCGTCGTTTTTTTTTGGATCGCCAGCGGGTCGGGGTTACCGGCGTTGGGCGACGCATGCGTGGATCCCGTTATCCTTCGTTCTTCCTGATCTTCGCCACTTGGGGTGTCTGTTGGGGTATTGTTGGGTTCGTCTCGTCTACGCTTTGGACCGAAGTTTCGTCGGCGAATCTGACACGTTTGCAGGCTGATTTCGCCAGCCACCTGGTCGTTACCGTTAGGTCTCTGAATTCGTCACCACCCTCTCGCACAAAATCGAAAAAATTCTTGCGACGGTGTTCGGTCATTTTTGTCGGGTCTCCCCGCGGTTTCGCATGTCATGGGTGTCTCACTTGAACTTGGGAGTGTGCCACACCGACCGAAGGTTCGTTCTATAAGCTTCATTGAAGTTCATAGATGACCTCACTAATCCGATTCAACGATACTAATTCCGACAATCTGGCTTCTGATGTTGTCGTGGCGGATGCCTTCTTCTCCAGTGCTTCCGTAGCCAATGAGTCTGCCGCCATTGTACTAGTGTACCACATGTAGGTATGTGACAGACTTGAGAAGACCACCAACCATCTTTCGGTGGTGGTTGAGTTGTGTTATTAGCGAATCTTTCTTGCACACCATCTCCCCTAGGGACTGCTGGATTGCCAGTCTCGAATACGCAACAATTACCAATTCCATAGCCCCATGGTCCAGAGCCGCTTGAACACCCCGGTTCATACCGGAGTATTCGGCCATGTTCACCGTCGTGGCTTCGAAATAAGCACTCGCAGCGGTCACTATAGGCCATTCCGGTAAACGCCACAATATCCAAGAACAACCGCCGTACCCGCCGTATTTCTCGGTCTTGGCGGATCCGTCGAAGGATACCACAAATCCCTGGTGAGATCTCGTTAGGCGTGCGTACAGAACCTGAGGGTCCAGCCGTACGGTAGGTGTTCCTTTCGAAAGCGATGTAACCGTCGATAACGAGTTTTCTAAATCAACAAAACTCGTTAAACGGGCTTGGAGTAGCTGTGCGAAGGCGCAATCTTTCTCTTTCACCCTGGTGACGATTAAGTGCCAAGGTAACAACAGTATCGCAAATTGGGCTGTTAGGCCGAACAGTGACTTGGATGTGTTGACCCATCCCAATGTCGAGAAGCGGGTATACACATGGATCGTCTTGCCTGCCAGCTGCGTGTGGCATGTCTTCAGCAGCAATAGTAATGATAGTACCTCTTTCTCCACCGGGTGATAATTCATCTCGACGTCTATTAGCACGCGCCCCGCAGAATCGGACCACGTGCATCCTCCTGCATCAGGGTCGAGCTTAATGCCCACTCATTCGCGAACAGTGTTACATGTATGTCTGTTCCACGGTCAAAGTTGCGTAGAATCGGAGCGTCACCAATCTTCTGTTGCAACATCGCAAAGCTCTGTCAAGCGGCTGTCATATCGCCGCCTGGCTCGAAGTCCTCCTCTTTTAGTTCGTACAACGTGGCTGCATATACCACCAAATTCTGGATAAACCTCCTGTAATAGTTCAGCGCACCCAGGAACGACTCCATTCTTTTCTTGGTGGTCGGGAACGAAAACTCTGTCACGCGTTTGGACTTATTAGGGTCCGCTCGCAGCTCTTCAGGTACCACCTCATGTGATAGAAAATCGACTCGCGACTGAACAAAAATGCTCTTGGTGAAGCTAACAATCATGCGACACTCGGTAAAACGTTGGTGTAGTCGGTCGAGTGTTGCTAAGCATCCATTGAACGACTCGCTTCCAAAATAAATGTCATCAACGAATGATCTCCTATCAAAAACCGGCACCAACGAAGACTCGTCCGGCTCATCATTCACGAACATATCGCCGATTTGGCAATTGACCAGTCGTGAGACAGGATCGTTAGGTATCCATCATGTTCTACCGCATCTGATCCGTCTGTTTTCCTCTCACCGAGGTTTCCGCCATTTTTCTCTACAATTTTGGTCGTGTCACATTTACAAATTCGCGGTCTTCGGGCCATTTCACCTCCCCTGTGAAGGCAAATAAATAATCCGCGTCCACTGCGGGTTCCGTTAACTGTGGCAGCTCGGTAGGAACCAACACAGTTTCAGTTGGCGGGCTGCCTAGTTTAAAATGACTTCCATACACGACGTTTTGCAACATCGGTGTCAAATCGTTTTTATCGACTTTTGATCGGAGCAAACCGGGGAGCTCGTTGAAAGCCTCGCATTTTCCAGCATCGTGCACATGTTTGCACAGTTTGCACCGTTGGTATCAATAGTGCACGGAATGGGTCAATCACCCACACGCAGCGCAGGGCCCGTACTATTGTCGTCCGTTGCGAGTATGATTTTTTTCGTTGACGAAGTTACCATCACTCTAGGTTCGACTGTTATCAGATCGAGCAAACGCCCCTTCTGCAGCCGCACGGCGTTCATGTTCGTTCGCCGTCATGAGACCTTTCCCTTCGTATGCAGCATAGTTATACTCAGAACCACCATTGGAGTAGTTGTCATCATCATTTCGGGACTCTCCATCGCCCAGTGAGTCCGCGTTTGTCTCGTATCCATCGTCATACTGCCCTGATTGACTCGCGTGCGACCCCACCGAAATCTCGTTCAGGACAGTTACTAAATCGAACAGGGCGTCCGCCAATGTAATCCTCGGCCGGTAGGACGACTCGTCCCTGCGCCGGCCGTCTCGGTGGTGGTGTCCCGGCGGTAACTACCTCTCGAGTCTTTGTTTCGCCCTCTGTCGCGTCGCCGACCATTGTTGTGACTGTGGGATCGCTTCACCGAGGTCTCACGTTTAGACTTACGGTCTCGGCGCATCAGGATGTCATTAATCATATCCTCGAGGTCATAGATGTCCTTCACTCGCACGTGACACAGACCCTCTTCGAGGCCTCTGTCGTCACACGTATCGAGAAAGTTTTCGACATGATCCTTGGACTCACGTCCTCCATTCTGAAACTGTACCCCTGTATTGCGGGCGTAACCGTTGAGCCTGTTAAGGTAATCGCACACGTGTTCCCTGTCTTCTCGTTTCACCGAGTAATACCTAGCCTTCGCAGACTGATTGAACTTGGAGCAGTAATACTTGATGAATGCATCGCTCAACAACTTCTATGCACGTCGAGTCTTGCGCGGCAACTGGCGGTACCAGTGTAACGCACCGTCTTACAGACTCAACTCGAACGCCATACACCAGTCATTTGGCGGAGTGTGTGTCCCTTTCATATCATAGATAAACGTGCTGAGCCACTGCATGGACTTCTCGCCCTTGTTCCGGTAGCCCGAAAACTGCTTGATGTTTCCGAGCGGTAGGTGCGTGGTTATTTCGAGTTTTGGCGTCGTGTTCTTCATCTCCTTTGCACTCAACTCGCGTATCCGCCGTGGCCACACTTCGATTATATCTCCCTCGAGACAATCGTAATCGAAGAGATCGTCACCTTCGTCGAACGAGTCTTCGTTCAGTTCGTAGCGTCGGTCCGCCTGCTGTGCGTGACTTCGGTAAGTGTTAGGAGTTTGCTTCGAACCTTCGTTCTCCTTCACCGCCCGTTCTTCGCGACTTACGGCCGCGGAGTCATCATGTGCGAGTCGTGCATGTACTGGGATCCTTTGGATCCGAACACGCCTTGGGAAGTTTTGTTTGACTTAATCGGAGTCTGAGGCAAGGGAATCTTCGATGGTTTAGCAGGCATGAACGCATGCCGAGCTACCACCTGGCGCCCCGGTGCGATCTCTTTCACTCCGAATGCAGTCCGCAGCGTAAGGCCGTGCCCGCATCATCGGGCGCCCAATCGTCTAGTGCAGCATCCGAGGGAAACCTCTGAGGCTCGCACCCCATAACCCTAAAAGCATAACGGTGTCTTGGACCACCTGGCGAGTGCTTGTCGAGTCGATCGGCGCGACCAGCTCGTCTCCCAGGGTCATCCACCCTGTCTGGGGAACCAAGGTTGGTCCAAACATCCGCATCCAGCTGCTCTTAGTTTTCATCAATTCCAAAGTTTTCCCGATAACCTTGTTAGCTCCCGTTGTGTCTCCGTTGATTGGAGGCCGGAAGCCAGTTGGCTGCGAAGTTGCCTTCTCAGCCGCTACCGACGGTTTCGCTCTGTCGGACCCATCATCGTCAGAGTCCATGGCCGGACCGGCCACTTCCTCGAACTCTTCGGTGAGGTTGCGCGCGAGCATCTTCACCCCTGCACTATCGCCTACTGAAACCACAGCGCCTTCCGTAAGCTCTGACACAAGTGCCTTTTCTTCCAGTTAGTCGTCTACGTCATCTTCTTTGGCGTCGGAGTAGTCAGCCGAATCATCGAAGCTCAAAGAGCGTTCGGTAATCGGCGTCATCCGAGAAGTCGTTGGCGTTTAAATACGAGTTCCTTGAGCGCACCGAAGCCTCGGAGCGCATTCCGCCCGACTTCATCTGCGTTGCTGGTTCCGCTGATAGGTCTCCTCTTGCCATCTTAGCTTTGTTCTCTTCTGTTCTTCTGTCTCTCAAAAGCTCGTTAGGGGTCTAACCTGAATACAACCGAAACACACAGAAGGTTACTCCAATCCCGGGTCGCGCACCAGTTGTCGTGTAGGTCACGATCGAATTCTCACTTTCGGGTGAGTTCCTACCAACAACACCTGCTTCCCTGCAAAGGAATGCGACTGTTGGATCAATACCTAAAGACCAGGAACGATACCTTACACCGGGTTGGTCTAGGCTCTGTGTACCCCGGGTTGCCTTCGACCAACACTTAAGAAACTCGCCTAGTCACGAGCGAAGGCTCGGAAGTATAATGTAGCGCTCTCGCGCGAACCTACCGCAGTCCCTCAGCAGGAAGGGTACTGACCTTTGCAGACATAATGCAGGGGCACCGAGGGAATCCTCGGCAGGAAGTCTAGTGTATGTAAGAACCCTCTGTTCACACAAATACACAGAACGAGCTTTGCGAACGATCTATACACGACCACACTCTCCTCTTGACCTTACCTAGCCGACAGAGCCTTGGTTCAATGTACTTCGGTCCTATCAACAGGTATCCACACAACTAGGTGTATCTTGGCCTTAGATAAGCTAGATAAACGTACCGAAGACGGAGTTGACCCTTGTTAGCTGTGCGGGAGAACTGTTTTTTATTACTGAATAATGAGAGGCTCTAAGACCCTCTCTATAGCTCATCAGTTGATGAGTTCTACTCCTATACAAATTACTAGTATTACCCACCCCGATGGGATACACTTCGGTCACCCTTGTACACACTGTTGTGGTGAAGCGAGATCAAGGAAATTGCGATTGATGGGTCTTGATCGGCAACTGA